ATAATATATATATATATATATATATATATATATATATATATATACAAGCGTGTGCACATACACATGCATGCATATATAGAGTACATTATGTTTTAAAAAGGTTGCGATGGAAAATCTTATATAATTATCATAATTATTTATAGGTCCACATGACTTCGCAAATGCTCCAAGAATGCATGTCTTTATGAATAATGCAGAAAAGTAGAATTAAAAATCCTGGCTAATGCATACATAAATGTATTTTTTATAATCATTTCACCAAAAGCATGGTTATAATGCCACTGAGACATAAGGGGTTACACGCAGTGAAAGAGAATTAGAAGAATTTAGTGAGTAGAAAGGACAATAAAGAAGAATTCAGAACGACAGAAGATGGTGTTTGGCGTAGAATGTAGATCCTTGTGAGTTTGTAGATGGAAGGGAAGCAAGATACCAGAAGACAATTCCACAGGTAATAAGTGGGAGAAAATAACCCTTTATAATAAAACTTTGCTGTTGAACTAGCTAGATGTATCGAACTCGTTCAGTCGTAAAACTGGTTGTCTATCTAGTAATAAACTTAAATTCAAGCAGTCGAGGAGAAAAACTCATCCGAACAATAGTCATGAAACTACTTGTAGGAAAGACAGAGTGAAGGCACGTTACGCTGGTATGAAAGTGACTGAAGCCAAGATGCCAGGTCAGGCTCGGTTATATTGCAGATCCTTCTTTGGAGTTTGTCAAGAATGTCGAGATATGGAGCACCAAACCAGACATGACAGCAATATTCAATGCAGGGATAAATGGTAGATTTATGTGTACGACAAAGTGAACAAACCTTTTTAGCAGTAGGCCTAGCAATTGATTCAATATAACCAATCCACTTCATGCCAGTTGCAAATATGAGCTCAAGAAGGCGTAAACAGTTGCTCCTAGCCTTACTGTTTGAAGACAGAGAAAGTTTCTTTATGTTTATTAAATGATAACTGAGCCGTTAAAAATTTACACGCTATTCCTTGACACACTTAACCACTGATTGGAATTTTTATAAGACAAGAGTAAATAGTTGTCTCATCAGCATAAATACATTGTTGGGTAATGACGACAGCGGAAAAGTCATTTATGATGATAAGTGTAATATAGTAATAAAGTGTCGCTGCCGACACTTGAGTTTGAACATAGATCGCCAGTGAGAAAACACAGGCGATCCCATTATTGAGTTAAGTAGACCACGTGACCACAGAGGAAACGCATATATAAAAGGTAGCATGACGGCTAAATGATCTGTATTTCTAGTCTATCCTCTATACTATAAGGACCGCTATTTCTCTTCTCTATTCACTATACTATTTCTATATTCGGATCATTATACTGTGGTTACTATTCGAGTGAGTATTATCGAACTAGTACTATTAGTGCGAGTGATATTTGAAGGTGTTTGGCACCAGTATTGCTCAACGATGTACTATAGTTTTATCTGCGATTACAAAGTCTCTACTACAAGGAGCATTAGGAAAAAATGTCAACGAGTATTCGTTGGCAACAGAAAAATGGCAACGGGCTCACTAATATGAATAATATAGAAGCGTGTCCGTTCAATACGAGCTTCATTACACGATTTGTTAAGAAGTATTGGATTAAGCCAAATATTCGTCCAGAGAAACTCTCGTCCTTGAGCGTCTGGAGAAGACCAGCATGCCAGAAGATGACGGACGCCTTCGAGATATCTACAAACCGATCCTGAGCCTAGCCGTTATTATGTCATGCCCGATAAACATATTCTGTAATAACCTTTAACCCCTCTTCGGTAACCCTGGAGAAACGAAAGTCATAATGTTTATCCGTACGAAGGCCGTGCTAAATGTGACGCTAAACCAATTCTGCGTCGATTAGAGTCTCTAGTACTTTGGTGCACACACAAGCTCTCACACACACACCCACATACATACATACATACATACATATATATATATATATATATATATATATATATATATATATATGCGTGGTGCAATGGATTAATTGCTGTCTCATTTAGGCAAAAATGAAAATAACACGGACATAGCATTTTAACAGATATATTTAACAAAATTACAGAAACATACCTTGACATAGGAAAGAGTATATTTATTCAAGATATTCGCAATTGCCTTTAACCACGGCCTCTACACGACTTCGGAATCTCCTGCAACTCTTCTGGATTTTCTCCTTGCTTAAGTTGTTGAATGCTCTCATAATCTTTGCCTTCAGTTCTTTGATGTTACAAGTATTTTTGTTGGTCTTTCGTTCAACTGCGCCCCACACATAATAATCAAGGTAGTTGCAGCCTGGCGAGTTAGGTGGTCAGATGTAAGGGGTGATGTGGTCGAGGAAATTGTCTGACAGACATGACTGGGTTCTCCTGCTTGTGTGGTATGGTGCAGAGTCCTGTTGCCAGTGATAGGGTCTTCCAGCAGCCAACATGTTGAACTCGGGCGACACTTCTTTTTCTTATCAGAACAATCAGAGCTGCCGTACATTCCTAACCATCATTATACACATCCAACTCTTTCCCAATCCTATGCGCTGTCCTTAGATTGACACCATAACATCGACACTGCAAAATATTCGTATTTCGGCTTCCGGTGCGAATGCTAAAGAGTACAGCATGGCGTTTCTAAATTTCTGGTGGAGTGAATGCATTATTGTTCTTTTTTTTTTTTTTTCTCACATTGCTCAATGATACCGTCCAGTCGACAAAATCAAAAACAAACGACGCGCTTGCGCGAAATGAAGAATATAAAAATGCGACAGTTTACCCATCGACCATATATATATATATATATATATATATATATATATATATATATATATATATATATATATATATATTATTTCGTTAAAAATCATTTATTTTAGATAACTAGTATTACTTTTTACATAACTCCATATTCTGCCAACACAAGTGGGTATTGAATTTGTTAAAAACAATTTTCTAACAATATATGTTGAAAATTTAATATTAGAAATCTACATATATTTGCATCAGTCTACATACTTATTGATACAGCCTCGTATTTTCTATCAGTACAATTACAACTTTATTGAATGGTATAGGCACTAAATGTCTCCGATATGCTGTGTCCAATCAGGGCGTTGAGGATCAAGACTCTCCAGATTTTCCTGTCCTTTGCAGCTGTTAATAAATATTGTCTTTTTGTTATCTCTCCTAAAACTTGTTCCACCATCCATTTATTCAGATCTGTTACGTAGGTTATACGTTGTTTTTTTTCTCTGTTTCTCACGCCTTCATTATGTCCTGTGAGTATCAAATTTTCTCAGCCCTCTTTCTTGATTATGTGCCCTGTAAATTTCAACTGTCTCTTCCTGTTGTTAAGTATAAGTGTCCTTTTTGTTTTTATCTAAAACATTATGAACCATTAAAAGTTGAATTTTATGCTCACAGCGTTCTCTATAAAATATGTCAGAAATAAACTTAATAAGAATCAATCGTATTACATTTCCTTCGGTACAGCGAGACCTTCAGCCATACGTGTAATATAAAATCCAGGAAAAATATCCCTCTTTTCTTTTGTTTCCTGCGGATGAATTAAAAGATACAAAATTCTGCAGCATCTGGTTCCATTCATGCTAACTCTTTCTTTTGCAATTGACCAGTCATCCTACTATTGGTCAGTAAATTCGGTCAGCGGACTTTGTCCACTCCAGATGGCTCCATTTTGATCCTCTTTTATCTTTCACGCATTAACAGCTTGTGATGAAGGTAACAATTGCAGAAGCGTGTGAAAATCCCGCGTCGACTATCGCATGCGGCTAGAGATTAGCTTCAAGCGAAGGAAAAAAATTACCGCAGATAAATCAACAAATTCTGTCAGGAAAAATGTGCAAATGATGGAAAGAAATCTCTGTCCACATGAAATAGGAAGCTGAGAATGAGAAAAGGATTACCCGTTCCTGATCGAAACACCAGAGGCGAGGCAAAAAATGATTTTGGTTATATTTTTTGTTCGACAATGGTGCATTACCGTTGAACCCAAAGGGTCAATCAGTTCTATATATTTCTCGTCTATTAGTGCTGTCCATTCATTATTACATCCTGAACGTTTATTTGAAAGATTTCGGTCAAAATAGAATAAGAGACTAAATAAAGTCAACAAACGTTGAGTAAAAATTAATGTATGTCATGCGCAGATCTACGCACTTTTAGGAGGATCAATGACACAAACAATGTTACAAAATAAATGCTGCCATATCTACGACAGTCAGGTTCATATACGTTTACGAGCAGTCGTAAATAGTCGGAAATAGCAGTTTATATGAGACTTGAAAAATTCTCTGATATATATATATATATATATATATATATATATATATATATATATAACGTTTTATTGAATTAGATATTATGCGCTTCTTAGGAAAATTTGACTCAAAAACCGGATGACACATTGGAATCGCGTTCGATGATTTCCAAAATCTAAACAAAAGAAGCAGAAAAATACCTTTGGAAACAAAGGAAAATATTAAATATTATATAATATCAATCTACCCATATGGCAAAGAAACTTACAACCAAACAATGATGTCCAAAAAGACTCGTGCTGGGTAGAAAATAGATGGAATATTTCTGTAATGAGCAAATTTTTCGGAAAATACAAGGAAAAACCTTATTTTTACATGAAATCAGAAAAAAAAGAGAGTAGAAATTTTGGGGGTATATAAAAATAAATATTGTTTAGAAAATTGATACTGACAGGACATGTAGAAGTCTCTTGAGATCAATATGTCATATTAGAGTAAAATGAATATGTTGCCTTACGAGCTTGAGTAACGGGATGGCAAAATAGGGACAAACATGGATAGTAAAGAGACAAACGTTGACTGGAGCTACGTACTGTAGGTAGTTAAGGAGAGCCATGATGGACCATGTTTTAAGGGGACATGGTACATGAAATTACAAGTCAGGAGGAGGGAATATATAACCGTGTAGAAATTCTGCCTCTCTTGACATTGTCTAAAAGCTGTCAAAGAACTGTTACCCGCCTGAAAGCTGTGTCTATCTATCTATCTATCTATCTATCTATCTATTGTGGAGTAAATAAGGCACTCCCGGTGACACAAATTGAAGTAAGCAAAACGCATAAGATCGAAACCTATACGGAACAGGAAAAAGTACTTCTTACTTTGACCCACAAGAAATTAGAACCATATAACTTTTTTAATTGTTGAAGAAAAAAGAGAAGAAAATAGAAAGAAGGAAAAAACCGATATTGTTTAAATATGGAAGTAGTAAAATACAAAAACAGCAACAGAAACAACAGAAGTTACTGGAACTACAGATACAGAAACAAAACATTATTGAAATAATACGTAAGAAAATCGCCCAATTTCTTTCACTCCTGATGAGGTGGCAAATGCCATAGCTGATACACATATAATTCATGGAAGTAGCTTTTCTGTTTATTTTACATCTAATTTTTCAGAGAAGAAGTCAGCAACTGTGAAGACGAGAAAATACAAAACTTTTCTTCAGAAAGTTAACACCGGTGGAACATGAAAAATAATGTAATTTTGTACAACCAAAAAATTAGAAGAAATTTGTTTTGAAGAAACAGTAAATATTCTGACTAAAATTTTTATCAAAATAAGTTTGTTATTCAATCCTCGCGTTGGAAGTGTATGAATCTGACAAAAAGAAGACGAAAGTTTTGTCACATTTACTGAAATCGTTAACGAGGAGAGTGAAAGGTGAAAATTAAACGAACTGTCTCCGGAGATGTTTAAAGGGTTAATTATCGTTCAAGGGTTAACGGCGAAAAAAGATGCAGACATTTGTGCTAGAATTCTAACGAAACTTGAACAGAATAAAAAACTAACACTATAAGAAATATCGGACGAATGTCAGCGAATCGTAAAGCTGAGACGCGATACGCAAAAAAAAATTGAAGCAAAATAATGCGAATACATACAAGCTAAAGAAAAATGTGGAAAACAAAAATTAATTCAGAGGCAATTTTCGCTTTAAGAATTCAAACTGCTACAAGTGTGAGAAAATAGGACATAAAAAGTATGTAAAACTAAATCAAGGAAGAGTTCTCACACAAAAAAAAAAACATCGTAGCCCGCAATGAGACGGGAAAATAATTAGAGAAAACCAAATAAAAATTTGTATGTGAAAATTAATAATGGGGATGTAAAAATACAACTAGACACTGGTAATGATATCACAGTAATTAACGAAGCCACGTGGAAAGAAAACAGAAAACCTACATTAAAAAGCACTTCAAAAATCGCACGTCACGTGTCGAGTAATTTATTTTTATTGGTGAAATGATTTGTAATATTTCATTTCGTAACAAGTGCTATGATGTATATACACAGGGCATCAGTTTAAAAAAAAAAAAAAACACAGTGTAAGAATTTAAAGGAAGAATTAAAGAAATGTTTTCCGGATGTTCCGTCGGATGAGTTGCATCGGTATGCCAAAGTTAAAGCGAAATTCCAAAGTCAAAGCGAAATTTCAAATGAAAAAATGGTCGCCGGTAATGTTTAAACCGAAATCAAGTGTACCGTTCGCTGAAATGGATCAAGTCAAAGGAGAATTAGACAGACTAGAAAATAGGGGCAATTGAAAACATTGACAATTTAAAATGGGAAGCACAAGCAGTTTATGGAGAGAATAAAGAATAATGTTGGTATGATTTTTTGACAGAGTTAAACAAGTGTTTAGAATCTCATAATTGCCCATTACCAAGTCCAGAGGAAATTTTTGCGAATTTAAACGGTGGAAAACGTTTTTCGAAGCTGGATCTTTCTGAAACGTATTTTCAAATACAGGTTGAAGAATAACTTCAGATTCAACTATAAATACGCACAAGGAATTGTATAAGTTCAACGGAATTCCTTTTTGAATAAAAGTGTTTCCAGCTATATTTCCACAAGTTATGTATACTATATTTGCAGATTTTGATTCCGCAGGTGCTTAACAGTATGATATATTAATTAAAAATGTAAGTTACGAACAATATATCGGGCATGTTAAAAGAATTTTTGAAAAGATACGAAACTACGGATTGAATCTTGGTGAGGAAAAGTGTGAAATGTTTTTGCCTAAAATCAAGTACCTAAGATAAATCATTGACAAGAATTATCATCAACCAGATCTGTCGATGGCAATTGCAATTAAGAATATGCACTCACTAACAAACTTTACTAGGTTACAAGCATTTCTAGGACCAGGAAACTATTACCAAATCTACATACATAATACGCAGAATTTGAGAGTTCCACTGGACAATTTGCTTATAAAAAGGCGTAAAGCGGAACGGGACTGAAAAGTGTAAGAAGTGTAAAGAAACCAGAAAATACTAACGCCAGACTTTGCGTACTACGATCCAAAAGCAGAACTCGTATTTACTTCAGATGCTAGTGACTATGGTATAGAAGCGGTAATTCTACATAAATATGATGACGGTAACACGAATGCCGTCGCATGTTCGCTACGACCGGCTGATCGAAAACGAGACGTTAGCGATAATATTTGCATTGATTTCGCAAATTTATACACGGCAGAAGTTTTCGTTTACATACGGACCACTGCCATCTATTATCAATTTATGTTTCAAAAAAAGGAATCCATGCTCATACAGCGAATAGACTATAACGCTGGGGTACCATTTTATTAAATTACGATTTTAAAATGGAATACCAACCTTTCAAAAAATTAGGACATGCTGATGGTTTATCAAGATTGATAGTAAAAAAAATATTGAACCGTTTGAGGAGACTGTTATTGCAGCATTGAAAAGTGAAATAGTAATTAAAAATATATTATGCAATGTAGTACATGAACTACCAGTTACCCTGGAAAATAAAAGTAAAAAACAGAAGAAGACATGCTTATTTAAAAAAAAAAAACAAAAACAAAAAACTAAACGACTAATACGAAGTAGTAATGATTATTAGAACGTAATTCAAACTTGAACATTTCCTCGCTATGTGACAGGTATGAAATGTAGCAATACACATCATATTACAAAAGCGAATATTAAATAAATTTTATAATGGACATTCGGGAATTTCAAGGAAGAAATCTCTTATGAGAAACTATTTATACTGGACAAAAATGGATGAAGACATTGAGAAATTCGTAGGAGCTTGCAGAAGTTGTGCTTTGGCAGCAGAATAACCTATCAGGAAATTTCAAATTCCGTGGTCAAAACTTCACATAGATTTCGCAGGATAAATAAACGGAACACTTTATGTGTCAGCGGATAACATTACTAAATGGCTTGAAATTTGTAAGTGAGACAAAAAAACAAAACAACAACAACAACAAAAACAACAACAAAAAACAACAACAAAAAACTAACTTCCACGGTTACAGTGAATTTTATACACGAACTATTTGTAAGATCTGGTCTTCTGGATGTCAGTCTCGGATAACGGTACACAATTCACAGCTTATTTAATGAATTATGTAAAACTGAACATAATACTACCCCGTCCATGGTCAAACAGGCAAGCTGAAGGGATCGTGGTTTAAAAAAAAACCCAAAAAACAACTAATGAAAAAGTGAAAGAAGCACTATAAATATTATTGAGAGTATACCATATAATGCCGAATCTCAACACATCGGCAGGCATGTCACCGACAGAATTGATGCTCGCAAGAAAAATTAAATCTATGTTCAATAAGTTGTTACCAGATCAAAAACGAATAAGAACGGATAAGAATATAAAATAATTTTTTTTCAAAATTGGCTAAATATGTTTTTCAGGGTATATAAAAATAGAAAAGAATTGTGGGAAGACGGCGTAATAAGGTGATGAATTGGAAAAAATGCTATAAATGGTGAAATGGAAAAATGGGAACGCAAAAGGCATTGGAATCATTTAAAGAAAATTTTACAGAAGAAAGGGCCACAAGATAGGAAGAACCTTGAATTTGTTGAAAGTACAAATATGATAACCAGAAAAAGGAAACGTAAGAAAAAAAAAAAACAAAAACAAAAACAAAACAAAACAAAAAACAAAACAAACTATAGGTTGACCAGAAAATGAAAGAAATACAAAGTTCAGGATTTGGCGAATTCTCGAGAAAGCGGGTAGAGTAAATACTAAGAAATAGAATAAATAAAAAAATAGTGAAAAGAAATCTCAAAAGAATGGGAGTAAATAGGACATCCACGTTAACACAAAATGAAGTAAGCAAGACGCCTTAAATAAAATAAAAAATAGTGAGTCAGAAAAAGTTCGTCGGATTTATTCGAAGAGAGTTTTTAATGACGTCATGGCGAGTAACCTAAGCAAGACATAATATAACCGCTAGGAGCAATATATAACACTATCTATCTATCTATCTATCTATCTATCTATCTATCTATCTATCTATCTATCACTCAAAACAAGACAGTGTGGTACGTGTCAAAACAGCATAGATCCTTAGATTTTATCAACTGCTATCGAGGCTCTTTGAACAATATGAAATTTACCTTAGCTTCCTTTGTATATGTTGTTACAAAAGCGTTTCCTGGAAATGAGGACAGGTTAAACAATTTACGTTTGAAGAATCAAAGAAATTGTTTTGATGTCAGTTACGTAATCTTGTGTATGAAGTTACTATGTCTGTTGATGTTATTCCCTTTGCGGAAGTTTTATCGCATATTATGCCAAATGGAAGAGAGAAAATAGAACATATTTCAAACCCAAACAGAATTACGCACCAATTGCGCATGAAGGAACAGCAAATGACTTTGCGAGTTATTAAATCTGGGATCACATGATTATGATCCTCACATATCAGTTGCTTGAACAAATAAATGAGGATTAGGTTGATTCACCACTAATAACTGCTACATTGCATCACTGAATAATATTACTATCAGCTACTGTAACAATCAGGTTTAAAAAATTAAGATTTCTGATGAAACGAGTGGCTAATAGGTGGCTTAAACATTTGTCGTACGCTGAGTAAAGAGACTTTTTTAAACTCAGCTCAATTCATAGCAATGACTTCGCATATTTTGTATCAAGTGATTTCGTCTCGGCCTAGATTAACCAGATTAAATAGATTAAATAAGTTTAAACTAGTAATAAGTTTTCCGAATTCCGTCTAAAACTGAAATGATGCGTTATCTGCTGAAATAGTAGTTGTTTTGTGGGAAACACGGTTTGTTATTCATGAAAGGTGTTGTATATACAGAGGAACTCCAATAATAAAATCGAATTATGGATAAAAAGATGTCACGTATTAGAAAAGTAAGTACAATACCTCAAATAATACTAAACTCATACTAATAGCAAGAATGATCGTGTATGCAGTAACATATTGATCATGTAAACACGTAGAAGGAAAATACATTTTTATTATTTAATTTTTCCATATTCTTCAGCAAAAGATAGTATATTGCATATTCGCTAAATAGTGGCTGACCTTACGTCTTTAAGGATCGTTATCATAAAAGAATGGCGATAGGTAACAGATAAAATGACATAGGCTCGAATCACATCCATACTTAATGTTGGACGTAACAGACACATACCCATTGGGTCAGTTTAGCGTTCTTTAGATTCAAGTTTAAAGGAGCAGATAACATTGTTAATACCATGACTCCAGGAGGCTAGGAGACTGACAACGCATGGCAGGGTTCAATGTGTCACATATTCATTTGTATCAGATTGAGAGTAGGGTATGACATTTCGACGCACTATCCAGAATGGTGGTAGTACCGTATGGGAGTTGGTTATCTTAACGTGGCATAGTTTGGGTTCATAATCCACATAAACACGTCATTGGTCAGTGACCACTATTACATCATGACCATGTTCATCCATTCTTTGGAGTTCATGTACAACAACAATAAGGTATTTCATTTGCATAATATAACATTTAATCAGGCCTAAGCTGCTTCGAGCTGGCTTGGGGAGCCTAGTAGATACTTGAGGGATGTGGTGAAAAGTTCTATTAAGATACATGATCATCCACTTACAAATATCATGGACATCAATCGAAAGGAAATGGATCAGCATATTGTCATAGGTATTCGAAAGAGTTGTAGGAATAAACATAGGCCGAGTCGTCTCTTCACGATACGAAATACCGACCCATTGCATTTTACACGTAATATATATATATACATACACACGCACACACACACATACACACACACACATATATATGGCATTTTACACGTAGTATATATATATATATATATATATATATATATATATATATATATATATATACACACACATACATGACATTTTACACGTAGTGTATATATATATATATATGGCATTTTACACGTAGTATGCCATATATATGTATATATATATATATATATATATATATATATATATGCATTTTACATTATATATATATATATATATATATATATATATATATATATATATATATATATATATATACTACGTGTAAAATTCCATGGGTCAGTATTTCGTATGGTTATGATTTTTATCTCATATATATATATATATATGAGATAAAAAAATCATAACCTACTGAATAACTTTCTATTTAATCAAAAGTAAACGCGCTTACTTAATATGGCTGGGTTAGAGTAATATATGAAATATACAGAGCCATACGGGTTCAGGTTCAAATATAAGAAAGTGAAGACAATATTCCGGTTCCATATTAAGGAAAAGTATATCCTCCATGTGAATTAAAACCAGTCTGCACTCTTGCATGTATGGAAATATGACGAATACATTATCTGTATGATACATCATTCTACTTGACTATCATTTTTCCAGGCACACTGTCCTGGCGCTAGTGAAAGGCACGAATAAAAGAGCTGATTAAATGGAATAAGCCTAACTGATTAAAATACAGATGGGGCCTCATCATATAATTTTGACAAGTAAACCTCATGCAGCAAATAAACAATCGGATCACCATAATTGAAATATTGTTACTACTTAATCGATCGTTAATTATGATTAAGTTGAATTTGCTTATTGAAGGCGGATGTAGCACAATAATAGATAAGATGATCTTATTTATTAATTTTATTTGTTATTCTTGGGTTTTCTTTCAATTGATTCTTCGACACCTGAATTATCAGAACTATACATCTATTCCATTTCGTCAACTATTTTATTCACGTCAAGGTCTTCAATTACGGTATGAACTTACGACCATATACTTATACACTTGTTATTGTATGATTACTGAAATTAAGTGGTGCCGATTCTGGTCAGTACCTAGAAGCTACTAGTTACATTGGAATACCAGGTATTGCAAACTTTCATATACAGGAGGTGCAATAGATAAGAGGTCGGAATAAGTGATCAGAGAGCCGAATTCCAATTCCAGTTCCGGGTGTGTTTTATTCACTTACGCGAAAGGCATGAATCCGCCTCTTCCCTCATCTATGGATTAATTAGTACGATTTGTATCAATAAATTATTATAATCTAAAAATATCTTACAATCTAGAAATATTTTATGGTTTTAACTAACCTGAAAAATTTGATAATAAACAAATAAATCCAACAAGCCCTTACAGTAATCTTCGCAAATTAATCAATGGCCATCGCACCTGCTGGTCATATAAAGCATTATTTATACTACTTCAAGGTATGGTTTACCGATAACACTGTTTTGGAGAGATGTCATATCTGGTATCTTTGCCAATGTCAAAGCGAAATTCCAAGTGAAAAAAATGGGTCGACGGTAGTATTTAAACTCAAATGAAGTGTACCGTTCGTAGAACTGGATCAAATCAACGAAGAATTAGACAGACTAGAAAAAAGGGTTAATTGAAAAAATTGACCATTCAAAATGGACAGCACATGCAGTGTATGTAAAGAATAAAAAATTGAGGTGTGCTGATATTTTGACAGGGTTAAACAACTCTGTCCTACACTTCAGAGATTAGTTATAATAAAAATTATAACCTGCACTTCTTATAATAAATAGTCCCTACCATATTAAATTTTCCATCGATCTTGGAAATATTAAAAGACATAAATATGGAAGATAAATTAATGACTACTTCAGAATTTATTTGTTTTAATCATTTCAAACCAAGCAAGACAATAAAACTACTAGATGAAATTATTTACACAACAGGCAGAGAGAAACTACGTTACGTTGGTGGGAATGTGATCGAATCTGTAATGCCAGGCTAAGATAGAACGTCATTGAACATTGTTTTTTTGGATTATGTCAAGAATCTCTAGATACATAATAGAAGCAACGGAAATACATATAATGCATAAAGCACGAAAAGAAACATTTGATAAAGATGAAACTTAACTAGTACTTTAGCGATTTATTCAATATCAATGTAATTTAACTTTCGATAGTCATTTTTATAGACAGAAAGAATGTCGCTTCTTAGTATTGTATGTCTTTTTTAAAATTTTTAAAAGATACTCCTTTCGATTTTTTTTTACCTATTGTTGTGAGACCGTAGCATACCTACAACATGGACTCTTCCAGGACTATATAAAGTATGCGATATAATATTATAGGAGAAGAGGAGGAGAGAGAGAGAGAGAGAGAGAGAGAGAGAGAGAATACTAATACCGTAGTATCAGCCGCGTACGACTACCAATATTGGACACTAGCACATAGTAAGCTCCGCTTACACTTACACTATCTTTGTAACCTTTTTTGTTTAATATATCTTTCTTACCTCTAATCCATGTTCCGTGTTTTACTTCCGTGGTCCCGACTTTGGGTCCACATCACCTATCAACATATTACCGATATATCAATGATGAATTATTGATATAGCCTCACAATAAAAACACATTGTCACCAGTTATAAAATGTTTACTGGAAATAAAAACAAAAACTTCTAATCATATCATATGAATAAAATGATATCTGGAATCATTATAGTTTTCTATTTAAGAACATATAGTGCCCTCTACATACATGATAACGAAAAATATATTACTGCTACTTTTAAAATACTCCTATATCATAATTATTATGACTGATATATCTCCGATTCTTTGTTACTGATAACTAGATCTGGTCTCCTCTCTTTAATCGAATATTTGTTTGAATATCAACATTCCATTAAATTTTAAAATTCTTAAAATCGTTGCTAGTCAGGGACGGTATATGAATCCTCTTCATCACCCAGATGTTAACTTGGCTTGTAAATTTAAACTCCTTTTAATCATCACACAGAACCATATTTACCTTATTCCAGCATGTCTGATAACACTCAGAAAATCATTTAATCTGCTATACATCAGTGCATTAAATATTGCTACCATATCTGGTATGGTGCTGCAGATAAACATCTAAATATTCTTAACAAAATTCCCAAAATTGTTTGTAATATTATCGGGCCTGACATGGCATTTATAACGTGGCTTTCCTCTGATTTTCTATAACATTTGCATAGCAGTTGTTCTAATGAGTTCTCTCCCTTTGTATCCCAACCGGATGTACTTAAATGTA